CAATATGCCTATTGATCTACCTTTTGATTCTACGAGGCCTTGCATGCGTTTTAGTGCAGCTTCGTATATTCGAGTATAACCCTCCTTATTTTTCAAGCTACCCGAATCAGTCTGGCAGAAAATGTCAGACCTCCCAGCCAGTCTCGAAACGGCCCAAAAATTGGGTAGTTTTTGGTCTCATTTCCGGATCCTTATTATATAAGCAATATTTTTGGGTCTACAGACCCTTTTTTTTTGGCTGGGAGAAAAACAAAATCTCAGGTGTATGTTAAATTTTATAATTAATTACTAATAGTGCACCAAAAAGTCATCTGATAATAATAAGCAAATGCCAATTTGCCTAAATTAGCTTTAAAACTAGAAAATTCAAGCCTAATATTGAATCCAGTTAAATTTTAAATATTTAGGATTACATAATCAATATAATATTATATTAGTATCAATTTCATATATTCCTAATGATCATTTACAGATTTATTCATGTGGGTATTACAAGCATTTTAATCTTAGAGTCACAGTGACGTATATTATATGTGATTTCATTAGAGGTAAACTCATAAATGTATTAGCCCTTTGGTAATTGTCAAGCAATCAGCATTGGATTCAGCATATATAAGTTGACATGACAGCTTATACATGCTACAGCCTACACTAGTAATGTTCTGGGGCAAAAATTGAATAGATTATTCTCAAATAGGCTGTAGGTATTTTCAAAACAGCAGCACAGATGTGCCTATATACGGTATACACAATATAAATATCTTATGTATGAATCATGATCATGATATTTATCCCCACATCGTGATTCTATTAATATCTTCATTACAACATGAAGTAATAGTACTTCCAACGCTACTGGATGCTGTAATTTCATCATAGCAGTAGTGAAATATTTATAAGCCAAATAATCTAGAAACTTTTAAACTTTTACATGAATTATTTATAGAGATATTGCGATTTGGTAATCGTAATTATCTACGATACGCACTTCGGATCAAGTGTAATTTGTAATCTGTGTGAATCTGTTACAAAGTACTGTGTTGGTGTCCTATTCACACAGGCCACAGTCTGCAGACTACATTGGTGATAGAGCTCGAGAAAAATATAATCTGACAATTGTACGAGTTAGATCTTACCAAGACAAAGCTTCATGCGATTATAAGCTTTAAAGTTTGGCTTTGTTTTCACCGACTTTACAAAAAAAAACAAAACCTAAATACGGATTCTTCAAAACAAGTATACAAAACAAAACGGACTAGAATTTAATACTCAACAACTAAACATAATGAGTTTTCCATCATGAATCAAGAGAGTCGTATCAAAACATCAACAATAATACCAATTAGGGGAATCTGGAATGTCTGAGAAGTACATCCTTTAACAGCATTTGCAGCTGTACCAATTCAAACTAAATTCCCCATGTGCACTTGCGTCCAAAGGATAGTTAAAGTCTAGATATCGAGATGCTTCAAGATCTGTATACAAAAGAGATAGATATTAATGACTATATATTCATCCATGTGTTTCGAAGTGAGATGCGCAGAACTGTAATTTTTATCAGGAATAGAGATCAAAGTGAACCCCGTGCTCTTGTTACACAAAGGTGAAAGATATTCGGAATTGTGATGAAGATCAATCTCCAAAAAACGTTCTGATTTGTTATGAAATTCAGTATTTATATATAAACAATGAGGATCCACATTTGTTAGGTGGTCACTGGCTGGTAATTATCAGTTGTGTTCAAGCAGATATATTTACTAGGTAAACTATGTTATTAAAAAAGTGTCTTTCGTTGATAGTACCAAAGTTAGGCAGCATACTTGTACTTGCTGCAGTTATAGATCATGAACAAATATTGAAAGATTCAGAAGGTCTATCCAAATATGTGGATGTTTTTTTCGGAACTGAAGCAGGTGGTAATGTTTTCCCTGGCCCAACAAGACCATTTGGTATGGTCAAGATGGGGGTTGATGTTTCTGGGGCTTCTAGTGGTGACGCTTATTCAGGTTATGCTCCAGATGGTTACATTACAGGTATTAGTATGATGCATGAATCAGGTACAGGTGGTGCTCCACAATATGGTGTTGTTTCACAACTAGCTTCGGTTGGTGATGACGTTGATGTTACAAAAGATCAATCTCAAACAAGGCTTTCAAATATCTCAGATGACGCTCATGTAGGGCTGTACAAGACTCATTTGGCTAATGGCGTGAATGTTACATTTGCAGCTTCTGATAGATCTGGTGTGTTTGATTATGAATTTCCTGCAGATATAACACCAAACGTGATCGTTAATGCTTCTCATCATTTAGTTGCACCTTCTAGACCTTGGTGGACTCAGTACTTTGTCAATGGCTCAATTGAGACTAGTAATGATGCCTTGAATAGTTACTCAGGTGAAACAACTATAAAAGGAGGATGGGGTGAACAAAATCCATGGACCATATATTTCTATGGTGAATTTTCTACAAAAGCCAAAAAAATTAGTTCATTCCAAGGAAGTAACAAGAGAGATAACAATTCAAAAGAATCAAGCTCCACTCAAGATGAACAATTTGGATTGATTTTCCAATTTGAAAAAGGTACACATGTCCAAAGTAAAGTTGGTATTTCATTTTTATCTAAAGAACAGGCCAAAAAAAATTTAGAAAATGATTTCCCAGAATCGTCTGATTTTGATACTTTGAAAACAGCAAAAGAAACACAAAAGTTATGGAATGAAAAAGTTTTCAATAAAGTTAAAGTATCAAATGAAAATTCAACTTTAACTGGATTGATCTATACATCTCTATATGGAACACATTTATTACCTTCAAATCGTACAGGTGAAAATCCAAAATGGAATACAGGTGAACCTTATTACGATGATTGGTTCACATTATGGGATACATTCAGATCAACTATGCCATTGTTCAATGTTTTACAACCAGAATATTCTTCTGAAATGATAAGAAGTTTGATTGACATCTATAGACATGATGGTTATATGCCAGATGGTAGATCTGCAAATCAAAATGGACGTACTCAAGGTGGAAGTAACTCAGATATTGTTTTAGGTGATGCTTTTGTCAAAAATATCGATGGAATAAATTGGAAAGATGGATATGATGCAATGGTAAAAAATGCAGAAGTTGATCCACCTTATGTTTATGATAGTTTTTCAGCGGATGATAGTACTAAAGAGGGTCGTGGTGGATTATCAGATTGGAAATCTAAAGGTTATATCTCAAGAAATTTCAATAGATCAGTAACAAGAACAGTTGAATATTCATATAATGATTATGCCTTATCAGTTGTTGCTAAAGGGCTGGGCCATGATGATGATTCTGAAAAATATTTAAAGAGATCTGCTGGATGGCAAAATTTATGGAATAAGGAAGCTTCAAGCTCAAAAGTTTCTTATAAAGGTTTTTTACAACCAAAGAATGGTAATGGTAGTTGGGCAACTACAAATTATGACCCAACTTCATGTGGTGGCTGTTATTGGAGTGATGATGAATATGAAGGATCACCAATTGAGTATGGATGGGCAGTTCCACATGATTTCCAAACCTTATTCAAAGCTATTGGAGATAATGGTACTGTTATTAAACGTCTTGATGATATGTTTAAATTATACGGCGAAGGTTTCGCAGATATTGGTAATGAGCCAAGTTTTTTAACACCATATTTATACAATTATGTTGGATCTCAATACAGAACTGCTGAAACAATCAGATTTTTGATTGATACAAGGTTCTCAATCGGTCCAAAAGCTCTTCCAGGTAACTCAGATGCTGGATCTATGCAAAGTTGGTTATTCTTTGGATTAATTGGTCTTTATCCAGTTGCTTCCACAACAACTTATTTGTTGAGTGTACCATATTTAGAAAGGATTACATTAGATGTTGGAAAAGGAGCAAAACTTGATATTTTAACAGAGAATTTCTCACCACAAAATCGTTATGTTCAAAGTGTTGAAGTTAATGGTAAAAATTGGGATAAGAACTGGGTAACTCATGATGATTTATTCAATAATGGTGGTTCAATAAAGTTTATTTTAGGTTCAGAACCAAATAATTGGGATACAGGGGCAATTCCTCCTAGTTCAGGGAATCATGATTTAGGATTGATTTAATTGTTTTATAGATTTTGAAGATATCACAAGAAAAGGAGTGGGTATATCATCACAAGAATTACAACTTCAATATAGGTCATAATACTATGTATTTGTAATTACAGAAATCAGCAGGTTCATAAACTAAAATATTACCAAATGACTTTTGATACCCTACATATTTTGAAGATTGTTATATATACGTAAAAGTGGATACTTTCATACGTAGTTGATTAATAGCACTTGAAGTAATACATATTTGATAATTACAAAAAATCTATAGAGCAAGTACCACCCAACACAAAGTACTTTATCCATAAGATTTCCCTATTATATTTTTGATCACTATGCGATATAAACCAATCTCATACATGATACAACCTAGTTGTCCAAAGTCTGTAATAAAGTTTGTTTTCTTGTTGAAGATAAACAAACATCATGGATCTTTAACTTGTTTAACCTAGTTATTCCAAGATTCATGATTTAGTTCTCTAGCTCTGAAATCTTGTACATAGAAGAAGAGTTTTGACACATTAGTAGATCTATATTGATCGATCATCAAAGGGCAGCCGCGATAAATACTCCTTCTAAAAATATTTGACATATAATTTAGTTTCTTGGTTGAGATTTTACGTCATCGAATTCTATGATTTTCATGATGAACCGTAGTTTCATTTTTTATGAAGTTACTCCTTTGACTTATCCTTGTTTCAAGATTCAAGATCCACTGTGAGCGTGTTTTGTTGAACTTTTACCAACTCAACATCATGCTCATAAATCCATGCGAGTTCAATGTTTGAAGTTTTATATTTCCATCACAGCAGCCTCATAAGTTATAACAGCTCCAAGATTATGTTATTTTTATCATAGAGTCAACAACGCTTTTCCCGAATAGGAATAGTAATAACCTAGAGTTTCTGCGGCTCGCCGAAAAAGGAAAGCAATGTTTACGTTTTTAGACAAATTTACCAGGTTAGGGCAGCACAAATTTGTGATGGTGTTTGGGTTTCGCCATAATAAGTTTCTATGGCAATTTCACATTTGCAATGAATTTTAATTCAAGGGCAAAAATGTATAGGTCAAGCTGCAAAGCTGCGAATATGATGGAATATAAAACCATTTCAGTCCCTTAAATTTGCAATCATCAACTCAATTGAACTAGGAAATAAACTTTTGTTACAAAGACATACACAAGTGTTACTAATAACTGTTTGTTCAAGATGCCCTCAGTAGCTGGTGAACAACAACAAGTTCCACAACAGGCAAATTCCAAGCCAGTGTCTGCTTTTAGACAATCCGTTACTTCAATTACAAGCAAAAATAAATGGGTATCACCATTTAGACAACATCAACATGAACAACAATCAAATCCAACCGTTAGAATTGGAAAATCTGAAAAATTGAAAAGAGAAGAAGCTGAGCAAGCAGCAGCAGAAGCATCTTCAACTTCAACTACAACTCCAGCAGCTAAAAAGCAAAAATCTAACACATCTGAACCAATCAATCCTTCAATTGACCCAAAAATTTTGAAACAAAAACAAGCAGCATTACAACAACAAGCAGAAACTTCAACTAGTAAGAAAATTAGAAATGAAGATAAACTTATCGATCTTGGTGGTGGTTTGAAAATGAGTCAAGCAGCAATTGACAAAATCGCCAGAGAAAGATTAGCTAAAGATCTTGAAGATATTGATACAAAAGCTTCAGCTCAAGCTAAGTTAAGAGATCAAAGATATCAAAAGAAATTAGAATTACAAGCTTTGAAAGAAGAAAACAAAACCAATTCAAAATTTGCTAAATTCAAAAAGAAGCTTGATTTGGAAAAAAAGAACATTCAATCTGAACATGATAGAAAAGTTAAGGAGATTGAAGCTACAATCGCTAGTTTAGATAAACAAATTGTTGATTTTGATAAGAAGACAAAAGAAGAAATCGAACAATCAAACAAAGATGCTGAATTAGCAACTAAAGAAGCCGAAGCTAAATTGTTTAAAGATAAAGAAACCACTTCCAAAGAAGCAGCAAATTTGGAAAAGGAAAATTTACAAACCATTCATGATCACCAAATTGAACAAAAAAGAAGTGAAATTACAACAAGAGTTTTACATGCTAAACAAAGTGAATATGAACTAGAATTAGAACTCTTAGAGTTGAAATTAGCTCAAAGTAAAAAAGAATTATCTGAACAAACTGAAACTAATACTGAGCATACTGCTATTAGAGATGAATTGGAATCTAAGATCGCTGCTACTAAATCTGCGATTTCTGAAAATAGTGAAAAGATCTCCAAATCAAAAGCTAGTCAATTGGAATCCGCTAGAAGTTTGAAATCCGCCGAAAGTGAATTAGAAGCTTCAAAAGATTCTGTTGAATCATTAAAGAAACAATTAGCTGATTTGAAAGCTGGTAAATCTGACAGAGATGCTAGATTACAAGAAGCTATTGCTAAGAGAAAAGCTTATGATGAAGAGCAAGAAAGATTTCGTTTAGAAGCTGAAGAAAAGGCAAGAATTGAAGCTGAAGAAAAAGCCAAACGTGAAGAAGAAGAAAGAATTCGTAAGGCTGAAGAAGAAGAAAGATTACGCAAAGAAGCTGAAGAAAAGAAGCGTCTTGAAGAAGAAGAAAGACAAAGAAAAATTGAAGAAGAAGCTAAATTAGCTGAAGAAAAGAAGAAAAAACATGAATTGGCTGTTGCTTCTTTTGGTGATGACTTAGATACTAGAAAAGCTAAGTTAGATACTGAAATCGCTGAGAAGAAATCTAATGGTGGCAACGTTGATGAAATTGCTTTATTAGAATTAGAAAGAAAACATTTGAATTCTTGGACCTATGAAAATCAAACCACCAAGGACAAAGAGCTTGGTGATTCTTTGGTCAAAGCTAAAAAAGATCAAGAAATTAAAAACAAACTCGCAGAAAAAGAAGCAAAGAGAAAAGCTGCCATTGAAGAAAAGGAAGCTAAAAAGAATGCTGCTTTGAAAGCTAAAGAAGAAAAGAGAAAGGAAAAAGAAGCTAAAAAGAGAGGTTCTGCTATTCCAGTTGCCGCTGGTGCTGCCGTTGGTACTGTTGCTGCTGGTGCTGCCGGTGCAACTGCTGCCGGTGTTTCTGCCACAGACAAAACTGCTTCTGGTGCTAAAGCTATTGCTTCTGAAGCTTCAAAAGCTCCAACTTCAAAATCAGCAGAACCAAAACCTATTTCAAGTGGAGCAAATACAGCTTCTACTTCTACTTCTGCTCCAGTTGCTAGAGAACGTCCAGCTTCTCCTCCAAATGCTAAGAAAGGTGAAAGAAAATCAAGAAGAAGCTCTTTTTTTGGTTTCTTCAAGAAGAGAAATAGTGATGATTCAATTTCACCAGTTCGTGACTCCAAAACCAAAGCTACAGCTGGCCCATTAGGTGTTCCAACTACTACTGATGCTGTTAAAGGCGCGGAAGAATCTACTAAACCAGAAACTGATGCTAAAGTTAATGATAGTGTCACCAAGGGCACTGAATCAAAAACCAAAGCTTCAACTGGATTAGCTCCTGCTGCTGCTACTGCCGCTGGTGTTGCAGGTACTGCTGCTGCTCTTGATGTTACTGGTGGTGATTCATCTAAAGCTACTGGTCCTATCACCGGTTCTTCCAAGGACTTGGAGGCTAAAGAACCTCGAGATGTTGCTGGAGAACCAAAGAATATCACTACTGTTGATAAATCAACCCAAGTTGAACCAGAATCTGCTGAAAAGACAACTGAATTGGATCATGAAGCAAATCCAGTTGTTTCTGGTAAAGCTGACGAAGATGTCATTGTTCCAGGTACACATGCTGGTACTGCTACAAATGATAATGCTGAATTAGATCCAAAAGTTAATACCAATCAAATCAAAGATTCAAACGATTTTGGTGCTTCTGATATTGAAAATGTTACTGGTAAAGAATTTACTACTTCTATTATCAAAGGTGGTGAAGATCCAATTTTAGCTGTTAAAGCTGCTGATCCAAACATTAGCTTAGAAGAGATCACATTAGAGCAAGCAAAGAGAGAAGAAAATGTTTTAGCTGTCGTTGCAGGTCATGATTCCACTCTTCAAGAAATTAAGAGAAATCAATTATACTCAGCTGGTCAATCAAGTGCTCCTGTCTCTAAAGATAGTGATGCTGCTGGTTTTGAACATTCAACTCACCCAGATGCAACAACTGCCCCAACAACTGCTGGTTTAGCTGATGATACTACACATACCAGTGATGTTCCAGCAATAGAAACCAAAAATGCTAATGCTTCTTATTCAGTTCCACCTATTGAATCTTCAGAACCAAAACATGCGTATCATGATAATTACGGTGCAGGAATTGTTGCTGCTACTGGTGCCGCTGGTGCTGGTTACGCTTTGGGTCAACATGCTAATCCTGATAGTGGCGTTGAAGTTGCTCCAAAAGATACAGATGAACTCTCTCCACAAGAAGCTTCTAACATTTATGATGCTCATCATGGTGCAGGTGTTTTAGCTGCTACTTCTGCTGCCGGTGCTGGATATGCTGCTGGTCATACTGAAGGTAGACTCCAACAAGAGCCAGTTCAAGCTCAAAAAGGTGTTGAAGCTACTCCAGCTGCCCCAGAAGACACTAAAGAACTCTCTTCACAACAAGCTTCTAATATTTATAATGCTCATCATGGTGCAGGTGTTTTAGCTGCCACTTCTGCTGCCGGTGCTGGTTACGCTGCTGGTGATGCTGAAAATAGAGCCCAACAAGGATCAGCTCAAGCTCATCAATCTTATCCAAAACAAGGTCAACAACAAAGAGGTCATCAAGGTAGTTTTCCATCTCATAATAAACCACAAAATGCGTATAACAATACTCGTGATGCAATCATCGGTGGTGCTACTGGTTTAGGTGCGGGTACTGCAGGTGGTTATGGTGCTGCTAAAGCTATCGGTAGAGATAATAGTGCTCCACAAAATGCTCCATCCCAACCTCAACAACAATATCAACAGCCTCAACAAAAATCACAAGCCGTTGATATACCAGTTGCACAACATCAAACCAAAGACGCTGAACCTAAAAATATATCTGGTATTCCATCGGATGTTGCTGCTGGTGTTTTAGCTGCCACTGGTGCTGCTGGTGCAGGTTATGCTTTAGGTCATAAATCTGCTACAGAATCAACATCACCTAAACCAAAAGAAGAACATAAATTCTTATCAAATTATGAAGAACCAAACCAAAGAACTTCAATAGCAGCCACTGCTGGTACTGAAGAGTTGAAAGACACTGCTTCAAAACCATCAACTATTCCGGGTACCCAAATTCCAGTTGATTCCAAAGCAGAAGCCGAATATGATGCTTCATTTGCTCACCAAGCTCCATCATCTTCAGAAAAAGCTCCAGTTTCAAAAGTTGTAGCTTCAGGTAAAACTGCTGCTGCTACCACAACAGGTGCCGCTGCTGCTGCAACTACCACTACCGCTACTTCTGGTTTAGCTTCTACTAAAACTCAAAAATCAACTGAACAATCTCAATATCCAACAGGTACTTATAGTGAACCTGGTTCTGTTGCTATCCCAAAATCTCAAAAATTTGAAGTTGTTGGTGGTGATCATTTAAAACCAGTATCTGAAGCTGAATCAAAGCAAGATACTCATACTTCAAAAACCAAACCTGAAACCGGTGCTGGTGTTGGTGCTGGATTAGGTGCTGTTACTGGTGCTGGTGTTGGTGCTGCTGGATTATCCAAATCAACTGATTCTACTGCTGATGCTAAAGCTCCAACTTTGAAAGATTCTAAAGATACCGTCTCTAAAAAGGATGATGCTCCATTGAACAAAGGTTCATATGTCGAGCCACCTGCTGTTTTGATCCCAGAATCACAAAAATTCAAAGTTACTGATACATTTAAACCAGAATCAAAATCCACTTCAGCTGCTATTGATACCCCTTCATCAACAAAAGCTGATACAACTTCTGCTACAAAAGATATTAACAGTGAACCAAGCTCATCAGCAAAAGACAAAAGCATCGGTGCTGCTGTTGCTGCAACAGCTGCTGGTGCACTAGGTGGTGCTGCAATTTCTAATAAAGGTTCAAAACCAACTGAATCAGAAAGAGAATTAGATTCTTCTGTTAAGCCTGAAATTTTGACTGATTCATCAATTGCTCCAAAAGTTATCTCAGTTTCTGAACCACATAATATTCCACCAGTATCACAAGAAAAAACAATTGAATCAGAACCTATCACCACATCAGGTACTAAAACTCTAGATCCATTTGCTGCTGGTGAACCAACTGAAGAAAGCACTGAAGATTACACCACCACTTCTCGTGAAGGTACTCCAGAACCAGGTGTTGCTGGTGTTGCTATTGTTGCTCCAGGTTCTGCTGAAGGTACCCCAGGTAAAGGTAAGAATGCTAAGAAAAACAAAAAGAAGAGAGAAGCTAAAAAGAAGAAGAAGGCAGTTTCTTCACCAGGTCGTGACTTAGAAAGCTCACCAGAACCAGAAGATGTTTCATTCAGCAACATTGATGATGTTACAACCAAGAACGCCTCTACTGAACCAACCAAAGATTCAACTTTAAGTGGTATTGGTAGTACTGTTGGTGGTGCCTTAGCTGGTGCTGCTACTGCTGTTGGATTATCTTCAGCTGCTGGTAATGAATCTGACAAGAAAGCCATTGAAGAAGATGTTCTTCCAGGATCTTTCCCTTCATCTGGAGTTAAATCATTAGATACCGGTGTTTCTACCACAGGCGAACAACCTGTTTCAAAATCATTGAAATCAGATATTACATCAGGCTCTACTTCTGCTGCAAAATCTACAGGTGCTAGTGCTTACAAAGAACCTTCTGTTGTTGAAATTCCAGAAGATCAAAAGTTCTCTGTCGAATCTGGTGTTTCTCAAAAGACACATGAACCAGAAGTTACCACAGGTAAACCAGAAAAGAAAGATTTAGGTTCTACTTTAGGTGCTACTGGTGCTGGTGCTGGTATTGGTGCAGCTGTTTCAGGTGTTGCTGCTAAATTAACCGGTGATAAACAAGAATCTACAACTGGTTATCAACCACGTGAAGGTGTTGAAATTCCAGAAGATCAAAAATTGAAAGTTCAACCAGGTGTTTCAAAAGAAACTCATGCTAAGGAATTATCATCAGAAAAATCACCTGCTTCAACATCCACCCCAGATGAAAAACAACCATCTTCATCAGGTCCAGGAATTGTTGAAACTGCTGCTATCGCTGCTACAGGTGTTGCTTTAACAGGTGCTGCCGTCTTTGAAAGCACCAAAGATAAAGTTGTCAATGCAGTTTCTGGTGAAGCCAATGAAGTTCAAGGTCTTGGTGCTACATTAAAAGATGCTAAAGCTGCTGAAAATTTGGCCCAACACAAGGATTCTAATCGTGTTGAAATTGTTGATTCTGCTTATTATAGTACTTTAGATCCAAAGAATGCTGGTAAGAGATTATCTCATAACAGTTCAAATGATGGATCAGAAAAAGCAGACACTAAGAAATCCGAAACTACTGGATTAGGTATTGGTGCTGCTACTGCTGGTGCTGGTGCCATTGGTGCTGGTGTTGCTTCTGCTGTCGGAGGCGATCAATCTAAATCTACTGAAAAAGATATTAAAGGTAAAGAATCAGCTGCCGCCATTCCAAAAGCTAAGGATGATGCTTCAAGAGTTAGTGAATCTCAACCACTAGGCTCAAAACCATCAACCACTGCTGCTCTTGGATCTGCTGAAGTTGCATCAAAACCATCAACAACTAAAGCTGCTGCTTCTAAACCAACCACATCTACTGCTTCTAAACCAGTTGTTAAAGAAGCTCCAAAATCTGAAAAACCAGAAAAGAAATTCTCATTCAGAAAATTATTCAAATCTGATAAAAAATCTTCAAAAGATTCTTCTCCAGTTTCAACCGCAACTACACCAGTTAAAAAATCAACTGATAAAGTTACAAAAGATACTGCTTCAACAACAAAAGCTGCTACAGGTGCTGCTACAGGAACAGCTGCTGCTGGAATTGCTGCTGTTACTGCTGCTTCATCATCAAAACCTGAAACTAAATCAGGTCCATCAACTACCAAAGATACCACAGTTAAACCAACTTCAACTGAATCAACCTCAAAAGACATTAAACCATCAACTACTAAATTAGGTGTTGAATCTAAAGATGTTAAACCAAGTACTATTGCTGCTGGTACTTCAACTTCATCAAAAGAACTAACCACCACCACCTCAAAAGATATTAAACCAAAAACTGAAGAAATTGCTGCTTCTTCAAACTTAGGTTCTAAATCATCAACTACAAGTGATTCAACTAATGTCAAAACTTCTAAAACCCCATTAGATGATAAAGCTCCAATTAAAGATACTAAACCAATCGCTGCTGAAGGTAAAAGTTCTTTAATTTCTGAAGAAAAGAAAATTGAATCATCAAAATCAGATATTGATCCATCAACTAAAGAACAAATCACCGGTTATGTTGGTGCTGGTTTAGCTGCTGCTGGCTTAACTGGTACTGCTGCTGCCATTTCCGGTAATCAATCATCATCAAATGATGTTGAAAAATCAACAACTAATGCTACTGCTACTACTGGTCCTTCTACTACTGGTAAAGATTCATCTATTGCTGCTTCAGGTGAACAAACCACTGGTAAAGATGTCGGTGCTACTAGTACTACTTTAGATTCAAATGCTGCTATTGAATCTAAAGATGTTGATCCTCAACAAACTTATGATAATGATTCATTATATTCATATCGTGAAGAAATCGATTATGAAGAAGTTCCAGTTAATGAAGAAGAAGATGGATTATTAGAAAAAGTTGTTAAAGCTGCTGTTGATTATACAACTTCAATTATTTAATCTTAATCATTGACATTTTTTATTATACCAATTTTTCTGCCGTTTAATTTGTTTAATTATTTTTGCAAATTTCCAATCATTTTTTAATACTGCTAAGTGTTGTTTTTGTTCTTCTTTTTTTAATAATGATCTGTGTTATTACAAATGAAATACAATATTGCTGCTATTGTGTTTTATTTTGTTTGTCATATTCCAAATGTTTTCTATAAAACCTAATAATATATCCTAATAATTTTTATGTGTGAGACGTTTTTTTTAATGATTGTCTACTTGATTTATAATATATGAATAAAATTTAATTCAAATTGTAAAGGATTTTTCGTTCAACTTTGATATATATCATTCTTTCTATATAGCTCAACTATATAAAATCACAATATAATAGACTTCTCAAGTGATTACACATAACCAACCTAAAGTTGCATAAACTAAACCAACAGGATATATAGCTAAAAATATTCTTCCAGGTAATACACCACTAACTTTTAAATTAATTGTAGCTGCATAAATCGCCCAAGAAACAAATAATAAATAGATTATAAATCTAATAAAACTCCATTTTATAAAAATTGAAATTATTGAAGAAATAACTAATGGGAATAAAGCATAACCTTGAGTTGATAAAGCACTGAAAAATGAAATTGTACCACCTAATAATTGAATATTTATAGCAATTACAGCAAAAGTTAACCAAGTTAAAGCGAAAACACTTGAAAAAACTTGTGAAGTATTTGTCTTTGGTGATAAATAACCCAAAATTAAAGAAAAAATTAAAATGAAAATTAATGGCCCCCATAAATCCCAATCTAATTTTTTTAAATTTGAATCATCAATTGGTTGATTTTGTAAATCTTGTTCTAAATCTTGTTCAATTTGATCATAATTAATTCCAATATTTATACCTGAATTTCTTGCAGCAATTAATAAATTATGTTGTTGAACTTTAGCTAATTTTGATAAAGAAGCAGGCCAAACCACACTAAATAATCTATGACCAATTGCAACTAAATCTCTTTTTAAAGTATCCCAAACTGGTTCATCTAAAGTATCACCACCTGAAAATTTACGTTCTTTAACATTCTCATTATTAAGAATTGGATTAAGAGAATTTGATAAATCAATATTTGGAGTTGTGAATGAAGAAAAATTGAAGAAGGAATTTGAAGATTGACCTTGACCTTGATTTAATTGATATTGATTTTGTTGTTGTTGTTGAGCAGATGAATATTGAGATTTATTTTTATTTATGGGTGTTGTGGCATCATCTGGTTCGATAAAATCTGGTTCTAAATCGAAATCATCAGCATGATTAGGATCAACATTGACAGGTTTCCATTGAGACATGATTGTACTAGTATTCAATTACCAAAAAAGAATAAAATAATCCAAAAAAAATAATGGTTTTTAGTTAAAAATTGTCAGAAGGAAGGCAACGGTTTTTAATCACAGTGAGTTTTTCACTAAGAGATTGTTCACATCCGAATTATAATCATCATGAAAATTTAACTATGGCCACGCACCCGCGTAAAGCATTTGCACAGATTCGAACTTGTGATTCCTGTGCACGAGCACCTCCTAGTGCTCTTTCCGCTTGGCCACGCAGGGTAAGAAACCAATTTCAATGGCCTCTGAAACCACCCGTCCACACAGTGCCATTTCAACACAACCACTGCCGAAAACAGCGATTAACCTCTTTTGGAAACTCAAATATTAATTGAAATCTCAATTTGTTAATTTCTCGCGAAACTCCAAATTTCAAAAGTCGGAGAAAAATCAAATTTTGTAATTTAAAAGAGTAAAAATAAAAATATCAGAAAAAAAAAAAGAAAGCCGCCAGTTAACGAGTGGGTGTTGAATTTGAAGATCGACCAAAAAGATACTTTCACCACAACCATCAACCATCAGAATTTGATTTAAACAGAGGATATCTTTGAAATCAAGTATTGCAACACCATTTCCCAACATTACCACTGAGACACTGCTACAATCACTTCAATCTTTATAGAAAAATCAGTATCAAAAAGAAACCAACCGAGACAGCCGCTCCACTTCTCAAAAATTTTGTATGCTTTTCGTTTAAATTGAGATTGGGTAGTATATTAAAAATCAAGATTCAAAACTTTATCAACACTATTAGATTCAAAATTATCAACGTTAAAGTATTATACAGAAAAAGTGACACAAAAAAGAATCAGATATAAAGTCAAAGATCTTCCTTATCTAAAAGTTTAGTTTCTTTCACATATCCTGTACAGAAAGGGGTCCTAATAGCCGGTTGTTAAAGGCGAGATATTGTGTCAAAGATTCAATCTAGTTTCACAAGTTTAGTACAAATTACAGATACCAAGATAAGTCATGGGTACCCCAGAAGAAGATAAGATGGTCTCCATCAAAGATCAAAATGCTCTTATCATGGGGAATGGGAAAGTTTATAAGATTCAAAAAGTTCGTCAAAGAAAAATTCATAGTTGTGTTCCATGTCATCAAAGAAAAGTTAAATGTTCAAGAGAAACTCCTGTATGCTCAAATTGTATTAAGAATGGGTTAGAATGTAAATATTTTGTTAATGATCGTGTTTCAAGAGGTAAAAAATCAAAAGATTTGGATAAAGAAGCTGATTTGAAAAGAAAGAAAGAATTAAAAGAATATATGGAAAGAGCTAAATTAATGGCTAAAGAAAACCCTTCAGCTTCTAAAACTATTGATATAAAATCACCAAGTGAAATGGATACTGCTTCAATAACACCTTCAATAACAGGAACCATTGATTCGTTACCTGGAAAAACATTATCTGCTAAAATGACAACTTCAACAAGTTTAAATTCAGAAAATGATTCAAATTCATCACCAAAGAATAAAAGTCTGACATTTTCAGATTCTGATAGTTTAATAAGTAATGAAAGTTTATCACCTCCAAAATTACAATTGCATAATCCAAATTCTTTACAACATGATAAACATATTTCTACTTTATCAAGTATAAGTGAAAATGTTCCTCAACAACAAAATCAATTCATGTCTTCATCAAGTAATGACATTACTTTAAACAACAATAACAATAACAATAATAATAATACCAATACCAATAATGATTTCCAATTTAATGATACCCAAACAAATGCTGGTAGTGATTATGGTTTTAAAAGTTATTCACAACAACATACTTCTAATTCTCATTCTCAACAATATCATGATCAACGCCAACAGCAAATACAACAACAAATACAACAGCATCACCAACAACTGCAGCAACAACTGCAGCAACAACAACTGCAACAACAGCATTATCAACAACATCAACATCAACAATCACAATCACAACCACAACAAGCACCACAACAACAAGCATCACAATCACAAATACCTCCACTTTCACAACATATACGGAATGATTCCAATAAAGCTTCATTATTATCACAAATTTATATTTCACAACCTGTTACTATTCCATTACAATTAACAACACCATATATATTACCAGAACCAAATCAAACACAAGTTTCAATTCAACCACATAATCAGCATAATCAACAACAATCATCAGAAATAAATGATGGATTAACACCAAAAGAAAGAGAAATAGTGGAAGCATTACCTTCAAGACAACGTTCTTATGGGTTAGTTAAAAGATATATAAGTACAATTCATCCAATTATACCAATTATAGATATAAATGAATTTTTATTAGAACATGATAAATTTTGGAATGATCAACATGAAGATAGATTTGAATTTATGACATGTCTTTATCCAATATTATATGCTGCAAGTAAAGCTGAATGTTTTGAATTTAGTTATGATGAAATTACAAAATATGAATTAAGTAATGAAATACATAAATATTTAAGAATTGCAAGAGAAGTATTTGCATTACAAAATTTCCCATTAAAATATTCATTAAGAACCATACAAAGTGCAGTTTTATTACAAAGTACATTAGAAAATCCTTCAATTAGTGATATTTCTATATTAGTTAGAATTGCTCAAGCTATTAAATTACATAGAGATCCGGCAAATTATCATAATATTTCAGATCCTCAATTAGTTCAAGTTAAAAGATTATTATGGTGGGAAATTTTTTATTTAGATGCACAAACTTCATTAATTCAAATGGTTACACCATTAATAAAATTAGATGAATTTGATACATCATTACCAATGGAATTTATTTCAAATGAATTAAATGTTGAAATTTGTAATTTAAATGGGAAATTCAGATTTGCATTAATTTTAAATGAATTAACAAAATTTATTTATGGTATTACTATATTACCATTTAATACAATTCAATTATTAAAACAAAAAATTTTAGATTTACATATTAGTTGTAATGCATCAATTATGAATTTATCAAATTTACAACAAATTAAACAATTAACATTTCAAGAAATGAATTTTATAAATTGGTCAAAATCAGTTTTAAATACTTATAGTGATCGTGCATTATTAATTTTACAAAATAAAATTATTTTATCAAATCATGTTTTAAATACAAATGAAAATGAAAATAATCATATTTTTAATAATAGTTATAATCAAATGATGAATAATGATAAAATGAGATTTAATATTGATTATTTTTTCAAAAATGGTTCAATAAATAATAATAATAATGGTAATCAATCATCAAGTACATCATTAAATGATTATTCATATGATGATTTATCAAATAATTTAATGCCAGCTGCACTGCATTATGTTTATGAATTTTGGAAAAATAATAATGATGATATTTATAATTCATATAATTGGGAAATTAGAAATACATTACCATTTGATGCAATAATTTTAATTTTAACAAATTTAATATCAGATTTAGAAAAAAATTTTAATAATTTATATGAATTAAAAAATGATATTAGATATTATTTATTAGATAAATCAATTGATTTAATTTTTATTAAATTTGATAATAAAAAAAGATCAATTTTAAAAAATTGTTTTACATTAATGAGATATTTATTTCAAATTTTAAGATTGAAATATTTAAAAAATAATAGTATGATTGGTGGTATTGGTGGTATTGGTGGAACATTAGATTTTACAAATTTTAATACAGAACAAATTATTCCAAAACCTTTAAAAAATCAATTTGATAATCCAATTAATGGTAATGGTAATGGGAATGTTAATAACAATACTAATAATCTTGGTATTACAACAAGTTCATTATTTGATTCAAATAATAATAGTAGTAATGGAAGTTCAAGACATGAAAGTTTTAGTCAAGAACCAATATCAAGATCAGGAGGTATACCACAAAATTCATATTTATCATTTGGAACTAAAAATTCTCAAAATAATTTATTTTATTCATCAGGATTAACTACAACATCATGTTCACAAATTGCACCAAGAGCAATGAGAACAGTTGCAGCAGCTACATCAACTGCACAAATTTCACCATTTGGAAATTTATCAAATAATCATATGTTACGTAATGGATCAGGACATATTGCAAGTGGTAATACAACATTTATTGGAGATGATTTAAATACAGATACATTATTTGGAGATTTTACAAATGAAGATGAAGTTTGGAATCCAACACAAATTTCATTACCATTACCAATTGGTAGTAATAATAGTAGTAATGGTACAAATACCCCAGTTATTGGACTGGGAGATGATGGATTTAATGATGATGAATATAAAAGATTAGAATTACAAAGAATTAAATTACAAATTACAAAATTTTTAACAGAAGAAAGATTAAGTGATGATGATAAATTTAATAATAAATATTATATTTGGTGTGAACATGAAATCAAACAACTGATTGAAAGACTTATTTAAGATAAAAAAACAATGTATATCATTTGAGTTTATTGAATAGACCAATGATATATACTATATATTAATATTTATGAACCATGGAGTTATTACGAATAAACAGTTTAATGACATTATTTAAATAATTTGAATCTAGTGTAGGTTATAGCTTTGTCCTTTGTCCCTTGTCCCAGCAATTCTCTTGTCTCTTGTCTCTTGTCCCCAGAATTCCAATTTGATTATGACGTAACTCGGAAAGAATTAAAATTTGAA